ATAGCTGATCAGAGGCCATCCCAGCGATCAGTCACTGTGATCACTGCGATAGCCGATCAGAGGCCATCCCAGCGATCAGTCACTGTGATCACTGCGATAGCCGATCAGAGGCCATCCCAGCGATCAGTCACTGTGATCACTGCGATAGCCGATCAGAGGCCATCCCAGCGATCAGTCACTGTGATCACTGCGATAGCCGATCAGAGGCCATCCCAGCGATCAGTCACTGTGATCACTGCGATATCCGATCAGAGGCCATCCCAGCAATCAGTCACTGTGATCACTGTGATAGCCGATCAGAGGCTATCACAGCGATCAGTCACTGTCACTACTGTGATAGCCAATCAGAGGCTATTACAGCGATCAGGTGACCTGGAACTGGGGTTCATTCAGAAAACATGGGTACGGGCTTCACAGTGACTGATCACTGTGTGATAGCCGATCAGAGGCCGATCACAAAGATCAGTCTCTGTGATCACTGTGATAGCCAAGCAGAGGCTATTACAGCAGTCAGGTCACCTAGAACTGGGATTCATTCAGAAAACATGGGGATGGGCTTCACAGTGACTGATCACTGTGATAGCCAATCAGAGGCTATCACAGCGATCAGTCACTGTGATCACTGTGACTGCCGATCAGAGGCCATCACAGAGATCAGTCACTGTGATCACTGTGACTGCCGATCAGAGGCCATCACAGCGATCAGTCACTGTGATCACTGTGACTGCCGATCAGAGGCCATCACAGCGATCAGTCACTGTGATCACTGTGACTGCCGATCAGAGGCCATCACAGCGATCAGTCACTGTGATCACTGTGGCAGCCGATCAGAGGCCATCACAGAGATCAGTCACTGTGATCACTGTGACTGCCGATCAGAGGCCATCACAGCGATCAGTCACTGTGATCACTGTGACTGCCGATCAGAGGCCATCACAGCGATCAGTCACTGTGATCACTGTGACTGCCGATCAGAGGCCATCACAGCGATCAGTCACTGTGATCACTGTGATTGCCGATCAGAGGCCATCACAGCGATCAGTCACTGTGATCACTGTGATTGCCGATCAGAGGCCATCACAGCGATCAGTCACTGTGATCACTGTGATTGCCGATCAGAGGCCATCACAGCGATCAGTCACTGTGATCACTGTGATTGCCGATCAGAGGCCATCACAGCGATCAGTCACTGTGATCACTGTGATTGCCGATCAGAGGCCATCACAGTGATCAGTCACTGTGGTCACTGTGATAGCCCATTAGAGGCTATTACAGCAATCAGGTGACCTGGAACTGGGAGTTCCGTGTCCTGATTGTTAATACGATCCCAGCACAAGGACAAGGGGTTAATATTTCAAAAATGCGCCTGGGACCCTAAGATGATGCCAAAGTATATCAATATATTACAATATTAATCAATATATGACACAAGTTTAATTTATTGGAACTGTTGGAAATAATGAGTTTGATGAACTAAAGGCAAATAGACGGCGCACTCTGCAAGTGCAGTTGCTCCAGAGCTTAGTAAATGAGCGGAAGCTCTGCTGACCTCCATCATCCAATCACATGTAAGAAAAAAGTGCCTTTTATTTTAATTCTTGCGTGTGATTGGGTATTCTTTGTAAAGTGAAGCGTTCTCATTTACTAAGCTCGGGAGCGACTGCACTTGCAGAGTGCACCGTCTATTTGCCTTTAGTAAATCCACCCCAATGCCTATTTGCAGATACGACTTACATTCATTCACTGGCAAACCCAAAACAGATTTCACTTCTGGATACATTCTGGTAAACCAAATCATTCCCTCGCTTCCACTAGATTCCAATAGTTCAACGGACTCACTGAAATTCTTTCTCAAGTCTCACTTCTCCTGTTGCACTCTCCACAGAGTAGGTGAGAAAGAGTGAGAACCTCTTCTGACGGCTGCCGCAGATGGGAGGATTTGAGAATTCACATTCTGATGCTTCGTTCTGGGTGAGATTTACTAAACCTGGAGCACTCAGGATCTGGTGCAGCTGTGCACGGCAGCCAATCAGCTTCTAACTTCAGCTTGTGCAATTAAACTTTGACAATAAAACCTGAAAGCCGATTGGTTTCTATGCAGAGCTGCACCAGATTTTGCACCGTGCACTTTTAGTAAATAATCCCCTGTATGTTAGAAGTCAGTGGGACCTTCACCATCTGCCGAAGTCTGAACTCCCATCCAAGATCCTTCGATTTTTTTTTCAACGAATAAATATTAAAGTGTTACTAAACCCCCCACAGTACAATCAGTCTGTAGATGCAGCAAAGCATGCTGGTTATACTCACTGTGGAACCTAAGGGGTTAATCCTCCGCATTGTGTAAAAAGGCTGTTTGATCCTGTCTTCTCTGCCCCTCCTCTTGTTCAAATGACCACCTGATACAAACTGAATCCGCAGACACATGCACATGCTCAGCTTGGTGTGTATTGCTAGAGAGGTTTTTTTTTTTTCTTGGGAGAGTGCATGTGATTAGCACAGGGCCAATCAGCACTGTCCAGACAGAGGGTCAAGGGTTTCACATTTTTCTGGAGCAGAAAGAAAACTCCTCCTGCAAGCTTTAACCAGCGCTCTGCTGAAGTCACATGACTGCTCTAACTGCTGATGAGAAAAGGTATTTAGCAGTTTATATTTACTAAAATAATTGCATTTCCATGTTCTGTGTACTGTGGGAGAATGCAGGGTCCAGGGAGACCAGATATAGTGAATGCGGGGTCCGGGGAGAGCGGATATAGTAAATGCAGGGTCCGGGAAGAGCGGATATAGTGAATGCAGGGTCCGGGAAGAGCGGATATAGTGAATGCAGGGTCCGGGAAGAGCGGATATAGTGAATGCGGGGTCCGGGGAGAGCGGATATAGTGAATGCAGGGTCCGGGAAGAGCGGATATAGTGAATGCAGGGTCTGGGAAGAGCGGATATAGTGAATGCGGGGTTCGGAGAGACCAGATATAGTGAATGTAGGGTCCGGGGAGAGCGGATATAGTGAATGCAGGGTCCGGGGAGAGCGGATATAGTAAATGCGGGGTCCGGGGAGAGCGGATATAGTGAATGCAGGGTCCGGGGAGAGCGGATATAGTGAATGCAGGGTCCGGGGAGAGCGGATATAGTGAATGCGGGGTCCGGGGAGAGCAGATATAGTGAATGCAGGGTCCGGGGAGAGCAGATATAGTGAATGCAGGGTCTGGGGAGACCGGATATAGTGAATGCAGGGTCTGGGGAGACCAGATATAGTGAATGCAGGGTCTGGGGAGACCAAATATAGTGAATGCAGAGTCCGGGGAGACCGGATATAGTGAATGCGGGGTCCGGGGAGACCAGATATACTGAATGCAGAGTCCAGGGAGACCGGATATAGTGAATGCAGGGTCCGGGGAGACCAGATATACTGAATGCAGGGTCCGGGGAGACCAGATATAGTGAATGTAGGGTCCGGGGAGAGCGGATATAGTGAATGCAGGGTCCGGGGAGAGCGGATATAGTAAATGCAGGGTCCGGGAAGACCAGATATAGTGAATGCAGGGTCCGGGGAGAGCGGATATAGTGAATGCAGGGTCCGGGGAGAGCGGATATAGTGAATGCGGGGTCCGGGGAGAGCAGATATACTGAATGCAGAGTCCAGGGAGACCGGATATAGTGAATGCAGGGTCCGGGGAGACCAGATATACTGAATGCAGGGTCCGGGGAGACCAGATATAGTGAATGCAGGGTCCGGGGGTTTAGTATCACTTTAAATTTAAAGCAGAGCATCACCAATGAAAATAAGTTTTCCCTCTTGTTTTCTCACCCTTTCCTCTTCTACAATTGAAGAACATTCCTTGACTTCTGCAAAGGTTTAGTACCATTTTAGTGGCTAGGACATGGTCATCCAGTGCCCAGGGCAAAGATGGCAAAATACGCCCCCTCGTCCCCTTCCTTCATGATGTGCAAGCTTAGAGGATCCTATACCCAGCAGTCACATGTCAAAATCTCTCTACGGCTCCTGATCTGTCAGTCAGGTTTTGCATTGACCTGAAAGTGGCAGTTTTTCCAACACAGTCTCATAACAAAAGGCAGGAAGGAGGGGAAGAGAGAACACAGCCCGCACCGCTTCCCAGCTCCCTCCTCACCACTCCCAGAGCTGGGCTGAGAGGAGTAGTGATGCCGCTGCCACTACTCCTGTCAGCCTAGTAACAGAAGGAAGGAGCCCCCATCCTTACAGTAAACCACTGCCCAGGGCAGCCGCCCCTCCCTTCCACCCCTTCTTCCAGCCCTGTATGTGATATTGATGTAGGCACCCCCCGTTGCCTCTTCGTATGTCTATGTCACACATCCCAGGGGAAGTGTTTTGCTATGGGGTCTAGGTGCATACGTGAGATGCACTTTTAGGCATCATGCGCACACCAGGGCTGGGACAAGGGGCGGGCAGGAGTGACAGTTGCCCTGGGCATGGTGGGGATTTGGGGGGGTTATGCTAGAAGGGGTGATTTGAATGAGGGGGATTTGTACTCGGATGGTGGATTTGTGTTAAGAAGGGGTTTTTGGGGGGGGGAGGAAGATTTGTGCTTGTAGGGATGATTGGGGGATTTGTGCTAGGAGGGGAAATATGGGGGGAGGACTAGTGCTAGGAGAGGGGGCTTTGGAGGGAAATGGAGGATTTATGCTGAGAGGACAAATTTGAGGGGCAGAGGATTTGTGTTAGGAGGGGGGATTTGGGGAGGGAGAGGATTTGAGCTGGGAGGGGGGATTTTTACTGGAAGATGGGAAATTGCAAAGAAAATTTATGTTTAGGGGTAAGTGTGAAGATTAGTGCTCAAAGAAAGTTTTTTCTCAATTTTTGTTTCAAAATTTTGTAAATAAGTGATTTTTCTCCTTCACTGATGTGCGCTAATGAGGCTACAGTGATGGGCACTGATAGGCTGCACTGATAGGTACTGATAGGTGGCACTGATGGGCACTGACAGGCATCACTGATGGGCACTGAAAGGCAGCACTCATATATGGCACTGATAGGCGGCACTGATAGGCGGCACTGACTGGCACTGATAGGCGGCACTGATGCACACTGATAGGCGGCACTGACTGGCATTGATAAGTGGCACTGAAAGGCAGCTCAGATGGGCACTGATATGTGGCATTGATGTGCACTGGTAGGCACTGATATTTGGCATTGATGTGGCATTGATGAGCACTGACAGCTGGCACTAATGGACACTGACAGGTGGCACTGCTGGGGCTACACTGATCATCAGGGCACACTGATCATCAGTGCCCTGATGATCAGTGTACATGTCCCCTCTGAGGAATGCTGATTACCGGCTCTCCTCTCCTGTCAGCGTGACAGCTCGTGAGGAGAGAAATGCCGATAACCGACATTTCCCTATTTACATGCGATCAGCTGCGATTGGACACAGCTGATCACATGACCGAGCCAACATCTTAAGCTATTTCCATTGATCGGTGATCCGCTGTTTCCGAGGGAGACAGCGCACCACCGATCGCCGTGCTGTGCACTCCCGGAGCCGCGCACGCAGGTTTAGAGTGGGAGGGCGTCATATGACGTCCTCCCAGAACGAGAGAACCACCTTGCGCCCGTCATTACCTTATATGGCAGGTGGGAGGCGGTTAATTCTTATGCTGTATATCAGTATACCATATTTAGTTGTTTTAAACATTTTACATTTCTGGCCTAGGCAAATGATGTCATATGTCCCAAGAGTCTTCATGAGGGGAGGAGGGGTTTTCTCAGCTAAGCACATCCTCCTGCCTGCATGCCTGATCTAAGGGCGGATGGATTTCAGGAAGTAAATGCTACATGAGTCATCTGCACTTTCTTAAGATGGCCACGGCCAGGAGATTCCCCCCGCAGCTGTGCAGACACAGCAAAGTTTTGAAACTTGTATCACAGGCTCAACCCCCGTGTGTGCACATGTGCAGGAAACCCATGTATTTCAGGCTCAAAAATGCAAAATCTTTCACAAAATTACATTTCCCTGCCCAAAAAAAAGTTTCTTTCAACAGACAACACTTAAAACATAACATAAGCCCAAAACAGGTATGTGATGAAAGTTAGTCATAGCTACAAACCTTGCTTGTGTCTTCCAGCGCCATTACTTTTACAAGTCGCTTCCTTTTCGAAAGCTGTGATTTCATCCAGTCCTCCACCTGGACGTTGAATTTCATGAACAAGACATATAGCCCATAGGCACTGAGGAGTAAAATGCTCTCCCACCAGAGGATGACATTATCTAGGAAGAAGATGATCAGCATGATCAAGTCAAGAATATAAAATGAGACATCTCTAAACAGAGGCCACCACGTAAGGTTGAGGATCTCCCTGGAGAACAGGGCACAAGTTCCAATCACGAACAAGATGTTAAAGACAGCAGAACCCACAATAGTTCCAATGCCAACATTACTGTGGGAAATAAACACCCCGATCAGGGAGGTGAAAAGTTCAGGTGCGGAACCACCAGCCGCCATGAATGTGGCGCCAGCCACATCCTCGGATATCTGTAGCTTTTCCGTGATCACTCCCAAAGCTGGAACAAAGAACTCGTCGCAGACAATGGCCAAGGCCACAAATACGTACATCATGCCAAAGATGTGCAGTGAAACCCAGCCCCTTCTGCGTTGCTCTATGTTGAACAGATCCCGAGGATATTCTCCTTTGGCATGAGGTAATGGAGGTTTGGTGGGTTTTGGGGTGGTTGTGGAAACAGGAGATGTGGTTCTTGGTTTAACAATAGGCGTTATGGGATCCGGGTCCACGAAAATACAGTGTCTGGTTTTGGTCCTTTCTGTTACGTTTTCTGTAGATGGACCTGAGGTAGAGGTGGTAGTGCTGGTGGTGGTGCTGCTGGTGGTGGTGGTGGTGGTGGTGGTGGTGCTGGTGGTATGGTTTAATACTTGTCTAGCAGACACTTTCGTGGTCGTTTCTGCTGTATCATCTTTCACTGAGCTAGGATTTTCCAAATTTGTCTCTGGCCAAGGTTCTAAATTCATCTTTTGGTCAACCGATAGCTGATATAGGGAACAAAGGAACATCACACAAACTATGAACAGGATTCGGTTCAGCTGAAGTCTTTTTCTTCTGTGTAGATGCATTGTTACAGCCCTTCTGGCTAAAAGACCAAGAGCCAGAAAAAGCTGCTGCCTTCAACAAAATGATTCGTCACCTAGGGAAAGATGCTGGATATTGTCCTATGCTTGTGTTTATTTTTTTGGCTTGGCCTTTGCACTATTTGCTAAATTTGGGGGGTTCCACTGGGCATCCCAGATAAGCCTAATAAAAAAAAAATCAAAGAGTTAATACACACAAATCAGATTTAAAATATCCAATCTTTACTTTACCATTAAGATCAACAGCACTACCATTGGTCCTTCCCCTCATGCCAGGGTGCTAGGCGTAATCCTAGACTCTGACCTCTCCTTTGGGCCCCACATCCACTCACTGGCTAAATCCTGCCACCTCAACCTCCGGAACATCTCCAAAATCCGCCCCTTCCTGACCAATGACACCACAAAACAACTTATCCACGCCTTGGTTATATCCCGCCTTGATTACTGCAACTCCCTCCTCACTGGTCTACCGTTACACAGGCTATCCCCCCTTCAGTCTATTATGAATGCTGCTGCTAGACTCATCCACCTTACCAACCAACCAGTGACTGCCGCTAGACTCATCCACCTTACCAACCAACCAGCGACTGCTGCTAGACTCATCCACCTTACCAACCGATCAGCGACTGCTGCTAGACTCATACACCTTACCAACCGATCAGCGACTGCCGCTAGACTCATACACCTTACCAACCGATCAGTGACTGCCGCTAGACTCATACACCTTACCAACCGATCAGCGACTGCCGCTAGACTCATACACCTTACCAACCGATCAGCGACTGCCGCTAGACTCATACACCTTACCAACCGATCAGCCACTGCCGCTAGACTCATCCACCTTACCAACCGATCAGTGACTGCTGCAAGACTCATACACCTTACCAACCGATCAGCGACTGCCGCTAGACTCATACACCTTATAAACCGATCAGCGACTGCCGCTAGACTCATCCACCTTACCAACCGATCAGCAACTGCCACTAGACTCATACACCTTACCAACCGATCAGCGACTGCCGCTAGACTCATACACCTTACCAACCGATCAGCGACTGCTGCTAGACTCATCCACCTTACCAACCGATCAGTGACTGCCGCTAGACTCATCCACCTTACCAACCGATCAGCGACTGCCGCTAGACTGATCCACCTTACCAACGGATCAGCAACTGCTGCTAGACTCATCCACCTTACCAACCGATCAGTGACTGCTGCTAGACTCATACACCTTAACAACCGATCAGCGACTGCCGCTAGACTCATACACCTTACCAACTGATCAGCGACTGCTGCTAGACTCATACACCTTTCCAACCGATCACCGACTGCTGCCCCTCTCTGCCAATCCCTCCACTGGCTTCCACTAACCCAGCGTATAAAATTCAAAATACTAATCACAGCTTACAAAGCCGTCCACAACACTGCCCCTAGCTACATCACCAACCTCATCCACAGATACCGCCCAAATCACCCACTCTGCTCCTCCCATGATATCCTCCTCTCTAGCTCCCTCATCACCTCCTCCCACGCTTGCCTCCAGGACTTCTCCAGAGCCTCTCCCATCCTCCGGAACTCCCTATCAGGGGCGGACTGACAACTCATGGGGCCCCCGGGCAATAGGGGATCATGGGGCCCCTGTGTCCTTGCCCAAACTCAAAAAAGCCTATGAAAAAAGTACCAGGGGCATCCCATGGGCCCCCTAATGACCTCAGGCCCTCGGTTAGTGCCCGAGTTTCCAAATGGTCAGTCCGCCCCTGCTCCCTACCACAGCATGTCCGGTCAGCCCCCACCCTGTCTGCCTTTAGGCAGTCTTTGAAAACTCACTTCTTCAGGGAAACCAACCCCACCTCCACCTAAGAACTGTACTTGAATCACCTCCGCCAGATCATCCCCCGCAGCTATCACCTTTTGTAACACCTCCCCCTTCCTTTAGATTGTAAGCTCCATGATCCGGGCCCTCCTATTCCTTCTGTACTGAAATGTATTGCAATTGTACTGTCTCCCTTATATTGTAAAGAGCTGAGCAAACTGTTTGGCACCATATAAATCCTGTATAATAATAATAATAATAATTAGATCCCAATTACAACATTAATATATATTATTATGATAACAGATAAAAATCTGGGGTCTAAAACGCAAGGGAACAAATATCATAGCTCATAAAATTGTTGAGAGAACAAAACTAGTAGTCAAAGTTCTGCAAAAAGAAACTTATAAAACTAAAACTTTGAAGAGTAATGCCAAGGAGCAAGCACTGAAATCTATGTGTTAGGTTCATGTTACTGAATAGTTACTAAATGGACTTAAGAGATTGTAAAGCTTGGTATTTTTTAACCCCTTCCAGTCCGGTCCGGACACTTTCACCCCCCCCCCCTTCACCCCCTTCCAGTCTGGACACTTTCACCCCCTTCCAGTCCAGGCCAATTTTCAACTTTCAGCGCTGTCGTACTTTGAATGACCATTGCGCGGTCATGCAACACTGTACCCATATGAATTTTTTAGCATTTTTTTTGAGACAGATAAAACTTTATTTGGTGGTATTTATTCACCACTGGGATTTTTTTTTTTTTTTTGCTATATAATGAAAAAGTCCAAAAAAATTTGAAAAAAAGTGTTTTTCTTATAACATTTTGCAAATAATAAATAATCTTTCTTCATAAATCTTGGCCAAAATGTATTCAGTTATCTTTTTAGAAAAAAAAAAAATAACCTAAATTAGTTTATAACCAAAAATTATAATTTAAAAAAAATTTTTTTTTACATTTTTATTTTATTTTTTTTTATATTATTATTTATGGGTTTTTTTTGGTGTTTTTTACATACTGTCACCCTAGCAGTACAGTGTCACCATAATGACACTGTACTACTTGTGGGGGGTGATGAAGATTTTTTTTTTTCTACACTGATTGCTTTTACACCCATAAAGGCTGTAAAAGCAATCATTTCTCCTTCTCTCTGGCTGCATTCTTGCAGCCATTGAGAAATACTGTGTGAGCTGTGATTGGTCACAGCTTGTCACATGGTACAAGGCTGTTGTGAATAGCCCTGTAGCATGTGATCTCTGTGATCATTCACAGATTTTCACACGTAGTAAGCAATGATGTCAGAAGTGACATTTTGCTTACACCTATTCATGTGATCACTGATTGGCCAATCAGTGATCACGTGATCGGGACCTCACCCAGAGGTCCCGTACAGTGATCGGTGTTCCACTGTGTCTGAGGACACAGTGGACACATGATCGTGGTGCTGTGTGCTCCCAGGGAGCATGCACAAGCAGGGAATGCGGGAGGACGTTTAG